CTGCCATCAGATCATCCTGTTGTTCACTTACTGATTTCCTGGAAACACCAAGAGTTACTTCATGCTGGCGTTTCTCTATTGATGTGTAATTTACGGGAGAACTTTTGGATCATAAAGGCCAGGAAAACTATTAGGACAGTTGTACAGCGTTGTGTACCTTGCAAGAGATTCACATCTAAAGGAACTAAAGCAGAGTCCATTGCTTTACCTGCAGAACGAGTTCAAGACGCTGCAACTTTCCAAGTGACAGGAGTGGATCTTGCTGGCCCTTTGTATCTTAAAGGTGGTCACAAAGCCTGGATTGTCCTGCACACATGTGCAGTCTATAGAGCTATACACCTCGAACTCACTACCTCATTATCCACCGAAGCTTTTCTTCAGTCTTTTAGACGTTTCATAGCCAGAAGAGGTAGACCAAAGATAGTGTACAGTGATAATGGGACTAATTTCCTCGGTGCAAACAATGCTTTAACAAACATCGATTGGGCACAGATAGCTAAGTTTTCGGCTGTGCAGAAAATTCAGTGGAAATTTAACCCGCCAACCGCCGCATGGTGGGGTGGTTGGTGGGAGAGATTAATTCAACTTGTCAAACGTATCTTGAGAAAAGTATTAGGTAGAGCAGTATTGTCTTATGAAGAGTTAGTCACAGTGCTATGTGATTGCGAACAAGTTATTAACTCTAGACCTCTCACATACGTCACAGAAGATATAGATGACTTGTCTCCGTTAACTCCGTCCCATTTCCTACAAGAATTGAAGTCTGATGTGACTGATTTGGATAACGTCGACCAAGTAGGATTAAACAACAGACTGAAATATGTTCATCAAGTGCGCGAACATCTTCGAAAAANTTCACTTTTCGAATGCCGTCCAATTAAAAATTGGATTTACATTTAGCGAATTCCTGACACAAATGCTGGTTAGTTCCATTAAAAAGTGCTCTGCGAAGGCAAATTTCTCCCAATACTTTATCCAGGAGTTCCCTTGTCTTCTGGATTGGGCTTAAAATTACAAGGCTATGGAGTTGAACATTGGTAGTCGTAAACCCGAAAATTGGGTCGGCTGTTCAACGACGGTTATAAAATAAAACAAAATCGTTTGATGTCTTACTCACTGTTCAATTGTGGCTCGTTGACTAGAATAATTATGCATAAAATCCTTGAATCAGTAATATATTGGTGGGACGTATCGTAAAAATATTAGCTACAAAATAATTTTTTATTGAAACAAATGAATTATTTATAATTCGGTCAAATTAGGACTTCCATTCGGTGAAATGATAATTTCCCCCACCCAAAAAATTAAAGTTAGCCGCGCCCCTGACTGAAAACTAATCAAATTCCATATAAAAGTTAACTATGTATACATATATGTA